AAAAGAATAAAAAAATAATTTAATTCATATCTGTATCTGGGAAAACTCTGGTACTTGCCATTTGAACTGTGCTCCTAGCCTAGGGCCAGTCATGTCCACCCAGAAGAGGATGACTGACTGGCAGCAGAAGGGCACTTGTCACTCTGAAAAGTGAAAAGCATTATGGAGAACTCCCAGAAGACCTTTGTCTGGGACCACTCTGTTGCTGTGACTGGGGGACAGAAAGAATTCAGTAGAGAAGTTCACCATGCAAGGACTCAGAGCCTTGGTGCTCTGGTGTTTCTTTTCAGTTGAAGTGAAACATTTGGGAGACAGAAGCTATAGTGTCATTGATATCACCAAGCGCTGCAATAACACTATGAAACAAACTGATCTTAGGCAACTGAGACATCCAATGGAAGGCCCTCTAACTTATCACTAATGGAAGGCCTTCTCTTGGTCTATTCTAAGGATGATAATTACTTTCAGAGTACCTAACCAGAACTTCTCTCTTGCATCTGATTTCCATAATTAAAAGGTGCAGGTTGCTGTTCCATACCTTGTGAAATGATGCAAAAAATAAAAAAAAATCAATTGTATGTGCACAAGAAACTGCAGAGTAACCATGCAGTTAGAGATGAACCACTTCATAGGTGAATGACTCACAGATAAATGCAAGTGCAAAATCATGAAGTACATGTTTAAGAAAGTATATTCATAAACATGCACAATTCCATACAGGTGAGCAAAGTAGTGTGCTCTGAAAACGTGAAAAAAACCCAGCCTGTAAGTTGTAAGATGCTGCCATATTTACTCCCATGGAAAAGCTATAGAAATATGTACCTATAGATTTCAAGTTACAGATATCATAAATCTTCTGTCTGCAAAGGTGGTTGGTTTTTTTTTTTTTTTACCCTACTGTCAGGTTGCAACATAGGAATAAAACAAAACAAGATTCTGTGCAGTAGCCCAGAAGTTAGGTCTTGCCACAGGAACAAAGAAACTCAAATACGTTGAGTCCCTACTTCCAATGTATGCCATTTGGAAGTAAACTGACGCCTTAAGATTTCTAAGTGAGTCCTGAATCTGGAAGAGGGAGCTCAGCATGGCTTACCACATTGGAAATGAAATTTGGCTTCCAGGTAAAAAGGCATAATAGTACAGTATGGCAAAATAACGATACTAGCAGATCCTTTTGATGATGGGATGACAAAGCACACTGTCTAATCTAACTTCTCTTGTTGCTCTTTTAATGTTCTTCTGATTAAAAAATAAACAAAACCTGAGATCACAAACATTAGAAATAAAAAATGCTAAAAGCAAAAAACTTATTAGTAGAGAGTAGCTGAACTTGAAAGTTCACTATTACTTGGAGGTTCTGCTGTTCCAGTGCTCTCTGCCAATGTTAAACACAAGAGTGTATTTGATCTCAAATCTAAGGAATGAATTCCCACAAAACATATTTTAAATCCAGAGCTGAACATGAGCTCCATGATTACTCCTTCAGTTATCATATTTTCCTCCCTCAATGCTGTTGTAATATGTGACTGATGCAATAGGATCCAGCTTTTCACAGAGAAAATTTGAGCCACTCTGGAAAGGACAGATACCAAAACAACATCCTGGTCTACTGTCAAGATAACGAATCACTTCATGTATATTACCTGGAGCAAATCAAAGGATTCAGGGTTCTCCCATTGCTGTTGTTACAGTCCCTAACAATTCTTAAATACGGACAGATGCTAAACAAAAGATAGGCCAAAAATAACTGACATGGTTTCCTGACTCTGTATTTCAAAAGCCAGAAAAAATACCATAGTGATCAGTAAGAATATAATTTACACAGACACAAATAAGCTGTTTCTAAAATAAGTAATTAAATGGTTGGAAGATACCTTGGCTGATCCTGTCATCCTCAAACTTCTGATGAAGTGAAGATTTTTAGACTAGATTCTCTGGAAGAAATGTCTCTGTACAGAACTAGATGACAAACTGGATGCAAAGATCCAGGGACCCATTCTTCCACAGGGTATGCATTTCAACCTGAATAGTTTGTACGTGGAAATACTGATTTATTTTTAATTTGCTTCGCTCCTTGAATGACTTTTAAACCCTGCACTTCAAAGAAGAGTTAAGGAAATTATTTTAGAACCAAGTTAAATATAAGTAACAGTAACATTGTATTTCTTCAGGCATGACACTGCCATCTGGCAATTTTCTAGTTCTAATTTTGTTCTCACTCCAAATTTAAACCAATCATTTTGACTTCCTGATTTACACTCACATAGGTGAAAACATGAAGTGTTTTCAGATAAAAGGTAGAAAGAGTTCCAAGATTTCAGTAGTATTTTTCTCACACAGCTTCTATTAAAAAAAAAAAAAAGTTTCCTTGAGTAATGTAATTAGTGTTTTGGTGGTAGAACTTGTTGTTTCTGTTTTTTAACTGCATAAATGCATTTGGGTAAACCCACTGCTAGCCCACAAATATTTGTTTAGTTCACCATTTGTGTCAAATGAAGACATCATCTGCCCCCAAAAATGAACAGAAGATAATCTTCAAAAAATCTCAGGTGTAGGCCCTGAGATTTCTCTCAAGGAAAGGGAAAATGAGGTTTTAGTTGAAAGTCTTCAATTTTATTGGGGTGGTGTCAGATCAAGGCATGGCATGGATAGTAACTATTATAAATATCTAGTTTACATTGCTTGCCTTATTAGTGAGGTTTCAAAGCGAACATTGCAGGAAGTGAAACAGAAAAAATATCAGAAAAAAATCATTTAACATTGATTTAAACAACAATAAAAGTGATTCATATGAAATCATCTAAAACCCGAAGTTCAATTGTTGTTGTTATTTAAAATGGACTTTGAAATGACAAACACAGCTACCAAACATATTCTATGTAACTAGGCATTCTCAGATTTTCGTCTTGTTGGCACCCATATTCACCAGCTGGGTATTTGGTACAGGCAACATTTAAAAGATCTTAACATTTTATTACATTGAAGGGCTCTCAGTTATACTATTGACAAAAAACATTTGCATCCTATGATTGATTAAACCAGATAAGAACAATAAAATCTTTTGCTGGAAAGCTATTACAATATATACTTACACTGTTACATGTGTGAACATTGTCACTTCAAAGCCTTTTTCATAATAAAACGCAGGAGTGAAAAAAGGAGATTGAATTAGGCATGTCCATCTTCCAAGCAAGAGAAACTCAAAATAAAGTTTTATCGTTTTTTCTTTGGAGCTCTCTGGAAACCTGCAGTGGTCAGGAAGCGATGAAAAAGCCCAAGCCAAAAGTTGGTGAGCTCAAGGGTTTCACTAGTGTGGTTCCAGATTGTGTAGAGGTCCTTGGCAGATAGGCAAGCATAAATAGAACAGACCCTTTGGGTTATATACTGACCTTCCCAGAAGCTCTGTTTCTTTAGGAGACCAGCAGAAGTCTATCTTCTACTGAAATAAACTATATAGAAGGTTTGGAAATGCCTTGAAAGAAGAGATGAGATGATCCACAACGTCTGGCATAAATTAATCCTGGAAATATCTGTATGGTATCTAGCACTGTGGAGCTATTTCCCCAAGAAATCTCGACAGAAAAGATATTTGGATTTATTCTGGTTGGAGGAAATAAATAAATTGTATTTACCATATAAACATTTAAGAAACCAACAGCTAGATATTATTGTGAATAGATAGGAGTCAGATATGCATGAGAATCTCTATGCTTAGCAATAGTGTTTTACAGATGGCTTAGGCAGTAGTCAAGACCATTATAAATGCAGGCCTCTGATTGTGTCTGCAGTGTGGTGAATGCTTGGGTTATTTCAAATTAATCTAGAAATTATATGAAGATATTTTATCGAAATACATAACTTTGTTAATCTGTGGCCAGACAAACTTTCTTGAAGCAATAAATGCTTTTATGAAGACAAGAAGACTTAGAGAAAAAACCCAGTGGCCTTCCAACACCTGTGAGAAGGCCATCAAGAATATGGAGGAGGCTTTTGACAGAGGGGCATGTGAGAAGAAGAGAGACAATGGGCAAAAAATAAGAGTTCAGGCTCGACATAAGGAAAAACTTTTTCATGATGAGGACAGTCAAGCACTGGAACAGATTGCTTAGAAAGGTTATGCAGTCTCCATCTTTGCCGGGTTTCAAGATAGACTGAACAAAGCCCTCAGCAGCTTAGTTTGGTCTCATAGACGATGCTGCTTTGAGAAAGAGGTGGCATTAAAGACCTACTGAGGTCTTTCCAACCCGAATTTTTCTACAAACCCAAGACGCAAACTTTGAAGAGTGGAGGCAATTTTTTTTAAAAAGTGTATGCTTTACTTCTTAAGACTATTATGTACTAAATGAGAAGATTTTCTGTCCACATGATATGAAAATTTCCAGAAGCAGCAAGAAAGGCTTTATATTTATTTATATGGTTTTATATATTTATATCGTTTTCTATTATTGGATGCACTTATGTCCAAGCTCTTCTTATGCATTTGGTATATTCTTAATCTCAGACCATTCTGCCAGTCAGGTATTACTTTGCTGATAGTGATTGAATTTCACACCAATTTTACAACATTGTAAGGAAAGACTACAGAGTTTTGAAATAGGACAGCAAGTAATCTTTTCTCTTTGTGAGTTAGATATGTGGCAAACTGAGATTAAAACAATTAATATGTATTCGTCAAATAGTAGCAGTGTCACATAGATCACACCAGGACAGCACTGAGATCCTTCTCTTTACCAGTTAATGAAAGCTATTGGAACTGCTTCAATGTCAAAAGAAATGAGCTGTCGTACCAGTATTTCTCTTTTGGCCACCTTCAAATGAATTCACTATAAAGGGGATTTTACTGAAAACTAAAAAAGATGGCTGTTTCACCCACAAATGGTTTGGAACCTTTGCTTCTTCTCTGGATGGATGGAGGCAAGGTGGTGGCCCTGCTCTCCTCAACAAAGCTGTATAGACACTAATTCAGCATACATTTAATACAGTGTTCATATATAGCAGAGTAAGAAGAAGAAAAATAAATACAGACAGAAAAAGATTCTAGCAGAAGAAGGACATTTTAATATAATCTCCAACAAAGCAGACATACAAAAGGGGGAAGACCTGTGGATTTTCCCATCTCTGATCAAATCCTTGAACTCTCTCTTCCCAAAGCAACAGTAAATCTGACTTATATCTCACCCTGTACATCCTAAATTCTGCATAAAGCTTACCAATTTATGTGGTAGCTGTGCTAACTTTTACAGAAAATTAAAATGTAGAAAAAGGTATAACTAATACTTCTTGATTGCATCTTAGTTGTTAATTTGTTAAATAAATACCTTCTGTAGGTTTGAACATACCAATTCTCCAAGTACTTTGGAATAATTATGAATTTGCCACAGAATTAAGTATCAGCAGCTTAAGGAAATACACATTCTTGACAATGAAGTGTGATTTCTGCCGATATATTGCTTTTCTTTTATGCAAACAACCCAAACCTTTTTAAATGCATTACTATAAGCTTATCACTAGCATGAAAAATGATGTCTTCAACCTGGAAGTCTGTATATCTCAGAGAAATAGACTGTATTTTACATTGCATTTTCTGATTTGTTTTAGTCCAAAAAAGTCATTGCATAACTGGATATTATACTATAAATTAGTACTGAGTCAATAGTGAACTTATGTTGTATATAATATAAAACTGCATTTAAATTTTCACATCTTATTTGTATTTTACAACTATTTGTCCTGTTTTACTTTACACCTATCAAGTGTCATTGTTTCTTCTGAAATTTGTATATTCCGGGTGGTTGCATATTTTGTACAACATTTAATGTATTCAAATGAAAAAAAACAGTTGGGAAATTTAGACTTAATTACTTTCTACTAAAAAATTATTTTCATATTACAATTAAATCTCATTATTCTAATAATCTGATACAAAACCTACTACTTCTTGGTGAAAAAATTAAAAATCAGCAAAAGGTCTCAAATGTAACTTTATAGACTTTTGTAACTCAAATAACTATTTTTGCACAGACATCTCTGGATGCCAGCTAGATGTAATTAATAAAGCCTGATGCAAATCCATGCAAATAAAATTACCATCAGTAGTAATAAGTGTTCCCTGGATTAAAGATGTAGAAGAGCATTAATACATTAGATAATTTTAACTTTTAGAAAACATACAATGTATTCACAATAAACAAACATATTTGGCAAACTCCTGATTAGTTATTTTAGTTTTGTTTAATCTTAATGCGAGCTGAAGATACCAAGTGCAAATATTGAAATATCATTCCCTGGAGAAACTGATTTTGTTGTCAAAGACAAATAACTTCTGTATCTGTAACAATTAAATCTGTACATCTAAGGTAGTTATTTGTACCTGTTTCTGAACAGAAGAGGAGAGCAAAGAATAAAGGTCTTTATTTCTAAAAGGAAATAGTGGACTTCAACAGGAATGTTATTTGTTCCCCAAGCCTGAAAGAACATAAAGAATATATTAGACTATATTTCAGGTTGTGCTGTCAGTTTTAAAATGAACTTCAGAAACATAAAACAAAAGAAAGAAGAAAAAAAAAATTTAATTCAAAACTTTTAAGATAAAAACATCACGCATCTTCTCTTCCGCATTTTCATTTTTCTACTGAAGACTGAACAAGGCAATAAAAGCATATGTTTGCAGAGTAGCCCTTTGTAAAAAGCTTTCCAATGCTTTAACAACCCCAGCAAGCCCCTGTCAATGTACCTGCTTTAATTCCTCTGTTTAGAGAGCAAATGATAGCGACCTACAAACCTTGAGGCCTTCCCTGAGACCTCTCATTCCCCACCCCCCCGACCCTGCATTACTGTCACTAAGGATATTGAGCATTCCCATGCTTTCTGTTTATAAAACACATTTTCCACTCTGTTGGCTTCTGCACACATTCATCTTCCCCTTCCTTCCCCCCTTCCCTCCCTCCCTCCATCCCCACCCTGCTAATGTAAAGTGGGGCCCTCGGTTTGCTTCTAAGATACTGATATAACAGTTTGAAAGGGTCAGGATCAATAAAGGAAAGAGCAGTAAGTATGTTGACATTTTTTAGACCTAGCAGACTTTGGTTTGGCCACACTTTCTCATGTTGTTTCCTGCAGGACACTCTGTGTGTAACAGTCATGCTGGGAGTGAATACATTCACGTGCAAATACAGAAATGCTTATTGAACATCTCAGTTGAAGAAAGTTTGGGAAGGAGACAACACAGCACTGGAACAGGACTCAGCAAACTTAGCTTCTATATGAAGCTGTCTGACTCGCATTAGTGGCTCTGGGCAAATATTTTCTCTATAAATTATTTTGTATGTGTTCAAAATTTATTGAGGAAAAGTTCTGTGTGACCCTGATAACACATCACTTTTTCCCCCAAAGTATTCAGTCCCCTTCTACTCTTCCTCTCTGCTAAACTCTACTTTACTTCTGATAGTTTGTTTTTATCAACAAAGCCAAGTCCCCATCCCCACCTCCTAAAAGAAACCCCTCCAGTTCTCCTTTGCTTTGGATACAACTGTTACTGGAAACTATATAGCCAACAATGCACAAATACTACAGCAGCTACTGTGCCTCTCATCTCCTTTAGTCTAGAAACAAGTCAGGTAAGAGTGAAGCAATGTGCTCATGGGAAAAGGGAACACGTATCACAGGTATGGGAATAGTGGAGTCTCAGCCCATTTTCCTCTCCCAGTTAGAAAGGCTACCACTGCACCTCATAAATGTCCTCAGGTTTCACTGTGGTGTTGAAGCATAAAGTACTTCCTTACTAGTTCCTTCCTTACTAGTAAAATCCATAGATTTTACTCTCCTTCATCTTGCTAAATTAGAATTTACAAACTTTTTTTGATTAACAGTTTCTGCTATTAGTGGCTTTATCCTTCAAATCTGGGAGGGTTTACATTTCCTCACAAGCAGTGAAGAAAAAAAGCCTTCTGTTATCTGCCAGGTTGACTCCAAATCCTTCCCACAACTTGCTGCCGAGCTGTCTCTTATCTACGACACGTCGGGTCCCTACAGGTTTGTAATATGCTGCTCATACTTACGAAGCCTCTTTACTTTGTGTTCCCCTGGCTATGCTTAGTTATTGGTTGTGTCATCCAGCCCTGCACCGCCAGGATGACCAAATGTTACTCCGTTCCTTATCAGCTACTTCGGGCAGCAGGTAGCTCATCTTGTCTAACTGAGCTTCAGAACAATTTTAAAAGTGTTGACCGTCCTTTGTTCTGCAAGAATACCTTTTATAACTTGGGGTCTATTAGTCGTCAATGTTCATAATGCCTAGCGCCTTCTGAAACTGATGGATGACGCTAAGTAATAGCCTGTGGCTGAAAAACACTCAGGATGGAAAAGGCATTTGAGACAGACATTCCTGATATGGTATGATTTAGGAGGTGATCACAGGACAAGATGTGCTCTTGTTAGTTAGATCACTGTACTTCACAGAATGAGTCAGATTTGACCCCTCTAAAGGCTTGAAATGTTTGTTCTAAGACACTTATCTCTAACCTGCTTCTGGTGAGCTGCCTATAAATTCAACTTAATTTCATTTGCAGAAGAAACCTGACAACAGCTTTTCTAAATAAAGACAAAAGGGATCCCAAAGCCTAAGCGTGTTAAGTGTTTGCTTTGGATGAGTGTAGGGAGGCTGTTTTTTCAGCCACTGTGTGTTTACCTGACAGTTTTCTGATAAGAAGTGTGATACCAAAACCCCACTTTGTGACAGTGCTAACACCATCTGCCAGGTGCTGATAGCTTGCTGAATAATGCTGTCATCAGCACTCAAGTGCTGATGGAAAGTTATTGCTTCAGTAACCACTACCGCTTTCATCTTCTGTCTAACTGGTTACTGCCACTAAAAACTATTATTCCAGAAAAAAAAAAAAGAAAAGAAAATCATAGGTCATTTTTCTTTATCATGATGAATTACTTTTAGGCTGCCTCGCAGTGCCACCATTGTGTATTTATTGCTTTCTGCTTCCTGCCAATTTTACTTATCTATACTATAGAGTGAACTTTATTGCCTGCCTATGATTGCTCTCAGTACCTGATTTGGTGACAAATACCCATAGAAAGTTTCACTAGACCTTGATATAGTGAAATACTTCTTAAGGGCATACTCTGCTAGACCCAGCGGGCCAGTCTGCCTCATGAGGAATCATTTGCGTAACCTTTATTTCACGTAAATTGTTACAGCTAAAATTGTATTAACTAAAAACCAGGCCAATTTAAAGAAAATGCATACAGAAAATTTTGGAAGTATTTTCATAACCCAGAAACCACATTCAAACGCATTCACTTAAGTGTAAAGAAATACACTGTGCAGGCTCCATGCCTGCCCCAGAAAATTCACTGATGGTGGCTGAGAAAAACGGAAAGCCTTCATATTTTTACACTATAGCATTGAGCTACTAAAATAAATACACATGAAGAACCTCAAGTGTTTAGAACAGCTAAGAACATGTAATATAATTTAAGCCAGAATCAGTTCTCACTCACGTCAATATAAATGTGGACTAAAGCTATTTTGGCTTTAAAATGCCGTACTGAAGATTTTGGTTTGGTTTCCTATTTTTTGGCAGGATTTACCTTTCTTTTGCAGGATGTTCTGTCTTGCTTTAATGAAAGCTAGGATGTCAGCATCAGCCTGGCTGTCTCCAGTCAGAGGAACAGATGTACTTGAACTTGGTGGGGTCCTGAAATAAGAAAGTATACTTGTGGACACAACTGAGTGAGAAGGTTATTTTTCTGTTCCATTATCTCCTCTCTTTTTTCTGCATGGAGGACTTTCTTCTCCAGATACATTGTTAGAGATGGCACAGTTCAGAGAAGAGCCAAGGCCAGGGCTTCTTACTGCTCTTATGTAAATTATTAAGAGTAGCTAATATCTTTTTAGTTTGGTAGGGCCACATGCTTATGAGCTATCAAATCTCTCACAAAGGTTTAAAAATATTTTACTGCTGAGTCAAAGACTTACTGCTGAGCGGAAAAGACTAATATAGTGAGTTTGCCAAAGAAATGATTGATGTGTCTATGCCATGTGTTTGTTTACTTCAGGAAAAAAATGCTGCTGTTTATTTCAACAGATCAATAGTATTTTTGCCTACTGTAAGGGAATTAAGTTTTCATACATACCCAGAAGTAAATAATCACATGACATTCACGACATCTGCTGACAGGGGCAGCTCATTTCTGCTGCTGAGGCTCCAGTCCCAGCTGAGATCTTGTATCTGTGCAGTTAAATCATTGACTTATCTCTGCTTTTGTCAGACCCTCTAGTGGTATAAAACGATGTAGTACAATGAAGCTATTCTAATCAGCTAGAAATTTGGCTCCGTGTCTTTAGCCTTGTTTAAAGATCAAACACTAACGATGAATGAGAAATATAGTGATATAAATTACAATGTGGAAGGAAAAGTGGAACTAAAAGGAGAAACTTTTTTTTACATATCCTACCTCTGTAATTGTACTTATTTCCGCTGTTCCTTACTGTCTATTGCAGTAGAATGTAATTGTGCCTGCATAAAACGGAAGTCTGATACCTTTTTTTTGTGCTACTAATTAAGTCCCCCGTTTCTGAATTAGCAAACAGAAATTCTGGAAAAAATTCCAGAAATGGCTATGAACTTAATAAAATTTCTCTATTTATGTAATTTACAAGGTCATTTCAGAACACTAATAAAGGACTATTTGCTTAATTGATTTTCATTTGATTAGTATCAACATAAAATAAAAAATACACAATATATTTGAGAAGGTAATGTTTAAATTCCATTTTAGCTTCTCTTTTTCTTATGCACAAATGCAATTTAAAACATAGGTTTTGGGGGATGAAATTTTCTGTTATTTTTCTCTGTTCCAGAAATGGATTGCTTTGGAAAATGAAAAAAACCCTTCTGATTTGTTCTTCCTAATGCAGTAGGAAAAACAGTAACTTAACCATATTTTCCTAAGGACCTTAATAGCCAGCACTGTTGAGCACAATAAGAATGTAGCTTCTGGAAGTATATGAACTTGGCATGATGTTTTGGTAGGGGAAAAGAAGACGGAAATGAGCACATTAGAAAAAATAGAGAAGCTGTCAAAAAAAAAAGAAAAGTAGTTTCCATTAATGTGCTAAGCTAATTTTCATAAAGCAGTACCTCTTTTGAGAAAACATGACATGTAACCTTTGCCAAGGCTGACACACCCAGGCTGTCCATGGCATTTTATTTTACCAGAGTAATTTGTAGGAGGGGGACTCAATGTATTTTATGGATAAAATCATGGGACTGAAAAAAACTCTGCGTGGTTCCTGCATTCTGCAATACTTACATACTCTGATCTCTCTTCCTTTTAAATGCTTTTATTTACTCTTTCAGGGTCCCTTTCTCTTGCTAAGAAGGCACAGCTGTGAGGATTCATAAGCTCATAGGGAAAAAAGCCACAGGCCAAACAAGGAACCACCTCTTTAATATTGATAATGCAGCTACTTGGTGAAAAGCTATGGGTCAGCTTTGGTGTTGTTTTGGAATCTGGAGGAAAATCTGCATTTTCAGATTTATTTTTGTTTTTCAAGGAGACTGTTGTTGAAGTGCCTGATAGAGGGTTATCTAAGTATTATATTACTTACTGTTTTGCTTTCTTCTCTGAATAGCCCATATACGCTTCTTACCTTGTTTTTAAAGTAGGATTACTAGAACTGGTTGAATTGTTTTTCCCAGCTGGATCTTCATCAGGGCTGATTCTTGTGGTCTCTGAAAAACTGGAATAGGAGCAGAAATGAAGGAAAGAATATAGCCCTTGTGGAGGGAATATTAATACATGCTAAGTAACTACAAATAAGCTGTTTTTCAAGAGGGGTTTTTTTATCTATATAAAGCACTTGTTTACTGGAAGAGGATTTTCAGTTTAATCCAAGTGATGATTAGGCTTATGTAGAGAACGTGGCTATGAAAGAATGACAAACAAACTCATAAAGATTATACTTTTAGTATTTGCCTTCTAAGCAGGGCTTGTAAAACACTTTGATGTATCTGATGTACAGTTTGTAATGGTATATTTAGTTCACATACTGACTATTAGCCAAGTGAGCCCTTAGCTCATTTTCCACTCTTTCTTTAGTCAAGTAAAATTATTACTGAAATCAGTGGGAGACTGGATAAAAACTCAGTGAGGACTTTGGGATGTGGCTTGTTGATGATAACCAGAAATATTGCAAACATCTGTTGTGCATTCTTGTCCCGGCAGATACTGTTATCAAGGAAGCTCTCTGCTAGGAAGGCAGATTTCTGCCACAGGATGTCCAGGGACTCTCGCCTTTCCTCAGGGGTTGTGTATGCTGCTGGATCAGATGCCAATCTTAGAGAGAGTGGAAACACTGAATTACTCAGTTTTAGGATTTTTCCAGTAGATGGCAGGATTGGCAAGTTCTTGCTTTCCTAACTGCAGTAATTTGTTCATTGTTGGCTGATGAATTGATTTTTCTGGCAGAGATCTCAAAAAAGGAAAGAAATTTATTACTAAAATTTTACTGTATTACACTGTGCCAGGTTCAGTTTTGCAGAAGATATTGTGCCCAAGAGTGTAAGTCATTTCCAAATGAACAGCTCCAGGTTTCCTGACTGTTTCTCTTTAACTCCTCAAGTCCCATAGCATTTGCACCTGCCTAAATGGATTAAAATGACCTCAAGACTCAGCCTAATTCAACTAAAGCAATATCATATTTAATGTTAATAATATTCAGTACTTTATTACACCTACATATTACAAGAGCTAGAAAGGATGTGTGATGTTATTACCTACTATGTGGTTTAACAATATCTGGGAATTTCACATCATCTTTCTGCTTTAGGATTTCCTGAACATTTTTTCCATTGATTTGGCAGTTCTTAAAAACTAAGTGATTTGGATCTTAAATTCAATTTTCTAAAAGGACTCTGTGTCTGTGTCCTGAGATACCTAGGCATCCAAGTCATGTAACCACGGTTTAATAAATCACTACACATCAACTGAACCATAGCAACCATCCATGGCTGTTCTTAGCCTGCAACAAATGTAAGGTAATGTAACTTAATGTGATCCTTTTTCATTGTTTTCTTTTCACTGAAATAAGCTGCTTTGCTTTTTATTTGCCGTGAACAGAATGAATAATTTTATAAATATTATGAGTTAGCTGAAGTAATTTATATGTTTGAATTAATTTTTTTCCATTGAATTTAAACAATAATTATTCTCCAAAATTTTTAAATCCCCATTCTAAAGGGGTCTTAGATCCAGATCTGTTAAAAAAACTAGACACTACAGGTGACCTCTAGGGATCTCACTTTCAAGTACATTCCTAGACCCAGGATGACAATAAGTCAAAACTTGACTTAGAGTGCTCTGGAAGAACCAGGCAACTGCAGAAGGTGATAGTAAAAAAAACCCTTAGACTGAATAAGGTGATGCCCAGAATCAGGAAATTAACATTATTGTGCTCAGAGATGGACCTTAAATTCCCAGTCTCTGCCTGTGGAGTTACAGCAAGACATTTTGTCTATGGGATGCAGACTCTTCTCCTGCAAGTTAAAGACATTTATAAGGAAGTTTATAACTATTTTCTGTAATGATTCAAAATGCTGCTTCCATATAAGAGGTTAACAATTACAGTACTAATCTAACAAATGAGTCCTTCAGTTTGGCAGAATTCAAATCCATGGTTTACATATCCCAGAGATTTCTCTAATCCTTAGGCCAGGGATGACCTGTATGGGGATAATTTGCATCCTTCATACTGTAAATGTTTCTATGGCATTGCAAGATACTGATATTAAATCATAATGGGGTGAAAGGGTGTAATTTTGCTGTGCAGTGGTTTGTACACTCAGATAGAACTTGCTCCTAGCCTGTTCTCAGAAGCCAGGACTCTCCTCCTTCATCTGAGTGTTAGATGCTGTTCCAGTGATAAGAAAAGATAAAAAATGTTGCTAGTACTGCTCTAAATTTAATGGAAAATCATTATGACAGCACGGGGGTGTCTCCGTGTTAAGCCTGAAGGACTGGACATCTCAGGATGCTCAACAAAGCCAGATAAAACTGTATTTGAACTGAGTGAGTGATCATAGCCGTATAAGAAAGAAGCTAGTCCAGAGATCTCTAAAGGTGCCTTCCAACCAACATTTCTGTAATGTATAAAAACGCACTCCTGGATCACGGTTTTGGATTTGGATGGACGTACAAAGTGCAGAAGTCCTGTCTCTTTGCCTGCCTCCTATGTTCTAACATCAATCAGTTTCTTTTGACAATGTGTAATTCCTATTTTCCTTCTGAATCTATCTGATTTTTCCTTGAGTTGAATTTAAGAAGTCCCTAAGCACAGTCTCCTGATGGCTTCAGTAAAATTCCTACTTTTTCTGGAGATTACAGACAGTCTGTCAACTTCATATGTCTCAGTTCTTTTTTAACCTAGTACCTGAAGTTTCACTGAGTTGAAAACTTGCATTTTTTGAGGGGTCATCTATTGGGGGTATATGCGTCAGTTACGCATGGGGCAGCAGCTACAGAGATGTACACTGTATTGTGGGAGTGTCTCACTTGCTGTAGGAGCTCAAGGGCCAGAGACAACTGTCCCATGGACTGACCAGCTCCATCAAGCACATAAGGTAGACGAGCCAGAGAGATGATGGATGTCATGGTATAAATGTTTGATTCAACAGCTGAAAAAAAGTGGACAATCAGGTAGATTAAAATGGAAGGTGTAAAATTGTAATGTTAAAAACCCCTCAGCTGCAGTTGTCCAGTCATCTGAGCCTTGGACATGTGGGGAACAGATGTTCTGCGTAAAGGTAGGCAAGATTCAAGCTACTTAATATCTGAGCATTTTAGTATTTAGTTACAAAATGAAATTTGGCTGCAAATTCATAGATAAATTGCTCAAGTTAAATTGTTACCAACAGAATGTGAAAACCTTCGAAATGACATTGATCATTGATGTTATTCCCAGATTATATTTTATCGTCACGTAAAACTGAGGAAAATTGGCAGGAAAGAAAAATTATTATCACAAAAAATGCTGCAAAATATGTAAAGATTTCCCTTGTTTCATATAGCATTAATATAGGGAGTAAAGTAAAAAAGCAATCCAGGACAATAAATGTTAAAAAATCCGATGCTCCAAGTCATCGTAGAACATGAAGAGTTATCTGAAAATATTTCCAAGGGAATCTGAATTATCAGAAAGATTTTGAAGAAGAAGCTGGAGAGCCAAGGAGTCTGAGATAGTAGATATTGTGGAGCTTATTGGAACAGGACAAATGAGATTCAGTAAAAGGGAATGAGTGAGGTTACGAAAGATCTGACGGAATTAAAAAGGAATGCATTCCTTCTGAGAGAAGGAAAAAAATACAATTTTTTTCAGAAGATTTGAGTAACTATCCAACATTTGTTTCATTCAAGTGGAATACAAGAACAACTCAACACTATTGAAATTAAATATTCAGTGAGAGAAGTAACTTGAACAGACAAGGATCTGTTAAATTTCTTAAATTAAAGCCAATATGGGAGAAGACTATATGAGGATGAACAAAACACTGTGCTTGAATTCTGAAGTGGAGCAGGCATGGAGTGCTTATCCTAACATGCATTTCAGGACTTTTTGCAGTCTTGACAGGAACACATTAAGAGACATAAACATACATAGAGTTCGAGTTGCAGTTAGCACCACAACTTTATAGTAGAGACAATATGGACAGGTAGGCTATTCTCTTTCAAGTTTGAGGGATTTTATTCAGTATTCCTTTTGACTAAAATAACTTCTTGATGATTATTTTAAGTTCCTCTTCCTTTCTGTTTGTAATGTGACTCTGGGATTGCTGATTAGACCCTTTTCTGTCTGAAATACAGAGATGGGTCATTCATTCTCCAATTTGCACAGTTGTTCTTCATTTTAGGTAATGTGTTCAGATCAGATGAGATTTACTATTTCTGCAACCTTCATGTGAAAGACACAAGCAAAGATAAATATAGTCTGGAAAACTTCTGAATGTACTCAACAAGTTAATGAGAACAAGTCTGTAGGCCTCTACAATATACAAACTACTGGTTTCAGCTATTTGAAATGCATCAGATTTGGTAGTGTTTTGAATCTGTTCAACAAATAACCTTTCCTATGCCGACATGCTTTTTCTTATGCCAAACCCACTGATAAACCTGATGCCACCCTTTTCCCCACTTCAGCTCTGTGGTCACTGAAATAAATGTTTTCCTTCTTACTCTAGTGGGAGTAGGATCAAACTTTCAAATCATACTGACTAAGGCAGAAATGTTCACTGTTCAAATTTTTATTAACACAGACTCATTTCAATGCTTAACAATTCAGCCTTTTTTTTTCAATTGAAAGAGAGACCTTTGGCCATGAATCAAGTGCCTTTTATATGTGTGTATCCTTCTTAAGCCTCAAAAGGATTACCAGCTTCCCTTCTCTGTTATTTTAGTTATAAATTGATTTAATATAAAATACAATTTGAGGCTATCACGTTCCCTTCCCGAGGCTTAATTTTCTCTGGTAACACGACTAAGGTGTGTCAAACAATAATAATCCGCTTGAATTGTGCACTAGAAGGTGATCAAAGGTTTTTGTTCAAACACATAAATAAAACTCAAGAAAGATTATGGAATATACCTGTATCCTTTATATGCAGAGATAAATAATTTATTACTTCTAATCCTGAAGATTGTATTTATATCCATTCATGCTCGGGAGTTTGTCTGAATGGTTTTACTGCATGCTTACCCTGTCAACAGCAGTCTTAGATTTCTGACACACAGCCCACTAAGCTTTAGGTCTTATATCTATTGAACACACCTGTGAAGTGAATACCACCTTGGAAACAGGTTTTATTTACACCACATTATATCAAGTATAATTCATGTCAGTTTCTGCTTTTGTGACCAGTTATTCTGCTGGGTGAAGATAGCAATACCATTGCAGAGAAAGAGATTGTTGATTTCTAGGTGAATTAGAAACAAAGAGCCATTTGTGTCTTCAGACTACGTAACCAAGAGGAGCAATTGCAGCTTGGAGTCATCCTACACAATCATGGGAACTGGTAAGTAAAGTTCCTGTGTCAACTGGGGTCAAAGAAATCCCTGGGAAATAAATATTCTACTTTTTTATACTCTTAAAGCCTGTGAAATTGGAAACTTTTACTCTGAAACGTTATTGCCTCAAGTAGGAGGAAATGTAAATTTTCATGCACAGTGGGATGTTAAGTCTGCAACTCCCACCTCACAAAACTCAGAAATAGTGTTTCTGCTTCCATATATATCACACTGGAAATGTACTGGTGCAAAATATGTTTAAACAGCCTAACACAAAATAAGATCAGCTTTATGGAACTGTAAGGAGGGAAGAGTAGTTAACTTCAAAAGATCATTGCAAGAAACTTGACAGAGATGGGAGAAAAAAACTATATTCATCCTGATTCCTTCTACAATTTAAATTCAAGAAGATGAACGTTCTGGGTCTGCGATATGTACACAAGGATCATCCAGACAATTTCAGTCAACTTGTCTAGAGTGAAACTGTTCATTAGACTCAGAACTATTCATCATTCTCTTAGACACAGAGAAATTGTTCATTATAAAGCACATGTGATTTTTCACAAGAGACCACATGGAGCAGTACAAGACTCTGAAGTAAGTATGGCAGCTGAAAGCAACCAGGCACCTTCCCCTGTTCTATCCAAAATGCTAGACAAACACACTTTTCCGAGACCTGTCCTCTGTTTAATTCTAGCTTAGACTGCAAAAGATACCACTCTCCTGAGCAATGCATGAGGACATCAACTGGAAATTGTTGTTCCCAAGACCAATGTGGCAGAGAGGTTATGCAAGAGGTCCTTAGTTCAAAGTTAAAGAGAACAACAGTCATGGATTGCTTGAGCTAATTTGGCTGACTTTGTGCTAAGCTAGACCAAAAATGCTCTCACATTCTGTTCCATCAGCTTTTCTGTGGGACAAGTAACCTTCAGCCTAAAACCAGAAATGAAAAGCTCAAATTAGGCCTTAAACCTGCCAGCCATTTGCAAAGCGAATAGTGCTTAAGTCTTGAGAGAACACAGAATAAGAATTGAAGCAGAGAAGACGAGTCAGTTTTCATTGGTTTGAGACATCCTAAAATGCCTTCTTTGACAACTTTAGAGGATTATGAAATTCATTCTCTGTACTGATTATGGAGCATTTATTAGATACACCAAAGTTTACAGAAAAATTAGAATCTATTTTATAATTTTAAGAAAATCCAGGATTTGTTATTTACTGGTATGTAGGATATATTATGTTTGCTGCAAAGCAGGAAACATCATTTATGCAGAGTACTGTTATAAAATCATAGGTAAAACCACTCATCAGAAAGAGAATAACGGCATAATGAGAACAAGGGGGAGAGAGAGGGAGAAAAAGAGAGCAAGAGAGAGGTGTGGAGGGAGAGAGAAAAAGGGAAGGAGAGAGAACGCTTCCAGTTATTGTCAACGAATATGGAAACCTGCACATTCATGTTTGTTTTCCTGTACTCTACTTTGCTTGAAGGCTATGAAAGATCTATTACTACAAATTTACAGTAGAGATTTTGAAATCAGAAGTGACTGATGATGAAACAACCAAGACGACTATGTTTTTCTGCTATAGAGGATGCACCAAAGTTTTACAATATCAAACACAATATCATTGTTGAATAGCATGCTGCATAAATGTAGCACCAGGACATTTTAAATCAGCAAATCTATCTAGGCTATAAATTAAATACTTTTAAAATTATTTTCTTTTTTGTGGTTTGCAGTCCCCTGAATATGTTCCAAAGGAGATATACTCTCCTCATATAGCAAAATTGACTGATAAAAGGCTTGCTTTTCTTATATTCTTGTCATGGGGTCCATAGTGACAGGCTTCCAGGGACCCAGGACCAACAAGTCAAAACAACTGAATTACAATAAACTGCCTTCAATACAATTGCAAAATAACCAAATGATAAAAAATTCATTTTCTACACAGTCATTTCTCTTGCAAGTAGAAATGCAGTGTTTGAGTGGGATATTTGCAAAAGCATTCTGTGAACTGCACTCCTACTAAACCAGCATTTTCTTACAACTAAGGAAGGAAGAAAAAATTACCAATTTACCTGTTAGTTGATAGATGTTGTGAGGATTTGATAAACTGGGGATAAACAGTTGTGGTATTTGGTGAGATAACCATCTCTGGCTTTTCCTGCTGGGTTTAGATTGAAAAAAAATATGTAAGATTATGTTGGCCTACAGGTCTCAGCAATACCAAGGTAGGCAATGACTCATTCAGAAAACACTGAGTCTCAATCACACAGTATTTTCTTCACTTGGACAAACACTTCTGAACAAAGAGGAAAGTGTTTAGGATAGGTTCAAGTATTTTTAAGCTCAAGTTACAGGTTTTTAATATGTAACAGCATGTGTTTGCCGATTTGAGTTTCTTAGGGAGCTCAGATGTATAGATAGGTCAAGATCCAAGAAATCAATCCCAATTATTTTTTCCAGTTTTCTAATCTTCTGCTGATGAATCATGAGAGACTGAATCCTGGCCCTCTCGTGTTAAGTGATAGAGAAAAATGTGCTCCAGTAGATTCAAGAATATTATTTGCAGTGCTTTGAAAAGCCCAAATATTTAGATAGGAATGTGGCTAAAACATGATCCTCTTTGCCACTAATATGGTTAGGGATTTTAACCTTAAAAGTATATGGCAAAGATAACTTGAAGTTAAGCTAGTTAGGTGGCACATTATGGAAAACTAAGTCCTTTGTGTTAAGGTCTGTATCTATTTTAGGCTGTTTTCTTAAAAACACAGTTTAAATTTTTACTCATGAGAATTAAACAAAATACTGGCTAAACAATTCTTTGTTTATAACAACTTTTCCCCAAGGAGTAAATCTTCTTTTCCAGTTAATAATGAATGACATGGGATAGACTGCACTTAGCACTCTTTTTCATTAGGCTGATGTGCATTTCATGGCAGTGCTTTGCTTTGAGATGCCATGTCACTAATTGGAAGACATTAAAAAGTGTCAGAAGGGGAGCATAAGAAAGCTATATTTTTGTTTCAGTTGATCCCCCTCTGGACCCTCTTGTACTGTCTCTTGTGTTCGTGAAACTGTAGCTTTCAGACTGACTGTGTTATGAACTTCTAATACATTGTTTAAAATGGCATTTCTTTAGCTTTTACACAAGTCATTAAATTACAGCACTCTGTTTCTGCTGGGTTCTTGAACAGGCAATGATGGCAGTGGTGGGCCTCAGAGAGTGAGGGGACACATGCTCTGTGCTGAGAGCTGCTGACCCTCTGGCAGCTTAGGAAAACTGAAAGGTTACTGGAGTCTTCGCAAACAAAGGAAGATAAAAAACAATTATATTTGCTGGGATTTGTCCATATTACAGCTATGACTGTCATCTTCTAACACATGTCATCAACCTGATGAAATCATAGTTTTGCTAGCAGTAAAAAAGATTATTTTTTCCCAATCATCTCCTCTGTTTTATTTTCCTTCAGAGTTATCAGCATTTTCTTGGCTTTCAATCAAGTTGTTTACGGAAATGTCAAAAAAGAAAATAGAGCAGAAAGCAAGGCTTTTGCTTCATTTATGTTAGCTTCATACAAGCATAATTCATATTACTTTTGCCTGATTTACATTGGCACAAGCACAGGTGAATAGGGCCCAAAATCCCATCCTTCATAGTCCTTTATATCTAGTCAGTTAACTAGTTCTGAAATGACTGAAGATGTTACATTTACATGAAAATGGAAGAAACACAAAGCTATTTCATACCTGTAGATTTATTGCCTCTTCAGACCACCAGACTTCAAAGTCTTTTCGCAGCTTCATTTTGACTTTTTCCATAAGAAGCTGCAGGTGCTCAATCTCTACCTTCAGCCCTCTCAAGCGATTGAACATTGTTTTATAACTAATATGAGCAGAAGAAAGTGTATTACAGATCTTTCAACACATATCTGAACAAAGCTTTATCCTACCTAGAACACTTACAGATTTAAACTACAAAGACTGTATAATAATCAGAGATGCAGGAGACACAGGCGAAGCAGTGGCAGGAAGACATCTCATGTTTTATAAAAGCTTCACTGGGTAGAAAGTACAAGAAACTTATCCCACAAAGCTTTTTATTTCACTAAATAAGTTAGTGAAATTCAAGCAGGATCACTATTGCTTAATAATTAAATACAGGTTCAATCAAATATGTCAATTACTTCTTTTGATTTCTCAGTATGTTACCATTAATAAACAACTGATCGCCAGAGCCCTGGATTCAGGTAAGAGCTGAGACTGATTCCCCTTTCAGATGGAAGCTTCATTAATGAGGCCTCCTGGCTAACATATAGTTGGAGATTTACCAGTAGAATGAAAGAGCCAGAAGTTTCCTCACAGATTGCACATAACATAAATGTTAGCAAATTACTTAGAACTGATATCTTTGCATGTATTTTCTTTTATCCTCCTGGTTACAGTGACATTAGAGCAAGAAATGGTTAAGCAATCTGTATTCTACATATTATTTACATATAGTCAATGCTATATAGCCTAAAGGTTTTCCTTAGGTCAAGGAAAGCAGGATATTTCTGAATCAACCAAAAAGGTTCACAATACATTTGAATTCAAACAAATTTTTAACACTAATCCTCAGGGAGGATTAAGCTATTTTTATTTATTTTTAGCCATCAGCCCAATCATAAATTTCTTCCCACTCAGGTACTGTGGCATCTTACAGACAAAACAACAGCATATACAAAAATTTAAAAACTATTAGGGAACCACAAAGCTGACATTTTGAAAATGTCAGAGGTAACCCTGAGGGTAGCTGTGTGTGCAGAATTGTAACTGGAATATACTATAGTATAATTTATCTTCTGAAGGATGGCAGAAGTTTGAGGCAGAAGTAATACCTTTTTTTTTCTTCTTCAATTTGCTTTCGAAGTTTCTCTTCTACTGGATCAAGCATATTTAGCTCTTCAGAAGGACTGGAAACAGCTATAGGACAAATGATCAGATGTAAGATATGACCGTATTTGATTAGAATGAAAACTATTTTTTAAGACGTAGGTAATGAAATGGGGGTCATTAACCATTTCTCTCCTCTGGAAATGCTTCTTCAAATTCCTTATTTAGGCCTTACTTAGTATGAGATGCTTGATAACTAGTGGTTTGAACTAAGTTGCCTTTTTTTTTTTTTCTTTTTTCTTTTTTTTTCCAGTAAAGCCTGGAATATTCATTTTGAATATGAATAAAAGTGAGTTTGTCAGCCCATTTTAAAAGTCCATCTTTGGCATAAAACCCTACCAAATGCATTCAACCTGACAATTTTGGCTACAAAGACAAGACCAGAACAGCAATGTTGTTGTGAAAAGAAGATACAGCATTATCTGTGCTGGTGCCTGTAAATAGAGTATCAGAAAGAACAGTGAAAGCCAAGTCCTGAAGGAGAAATTAACTTTGGTAAGCATTAAATTCAGACAATTAGTATAAATAAGGAAAATGTTATGAAACTAGGTGAGAAATTTTTCAAGGTAAAGGAGAACTGAGGAAATGCCTTAAAAGTAGCCTAAGTTAACCTAAGAAAGCAGCTTAGGATTTCCCTATACTGTAACAGAGCTAGTGTGTAATACACAATATGCTTATTCTGAGAGATGGCAAAACAGTCTTTCCATCATGGGTTATATGTTCCACAGTGAAAGGAAATGTAAAATTACCTACTAGTGTTACAACAGTTTCTATTTCTAGGATGAATGAGAATAGTTTAAGCTTCCCAAGAAAACACGTTGAACCTTTTTAACTGATGAAAAATGAAAGAAACAAAGATTTGCTGTATAATACATGTAAGTTTCCATCCCGACTATTATTTCTGCCAAGAAAATAAATTCTACATCAACCTGTCATGAGGCCTGGGGAGTGCACCCTCTCTTCAAGGAGAGGAATTCTGTCTGGAATAAAAGGGCAGTAATGACCCCTCTCTGCTTGTCAGAGCGCCAGCTGAAACCATTAATCTTTTGTTGTAGCACCCTGTAGCTTAATATAGATGAAGCTGAAAAGCATTTTATTTCATTTAGAGTACTTAGGTCAAGCATGTTAATATAGACAGCCAAGGCGGAGACAAAGCCCATGCTCAATTCTCACTTCATACACCAAAAGGCTTTGCTGGATGTGCAGATTACAAAAGAAGGACAGGTTGAAGACATTTGTCATGGAGAGGGTACCCTCAAAAGATTTAAAAATAAACTGCTTGGAATGTTTAAGCGAATGCACAAACAAGGAGGTGCAAGCATCACAGCAGAGGAGATGCTACAACAGTGGCATTATACAAGTTATACCCAAACACAATGGATAATAAGAAAGCCATCATAATCATGCCAGAACCTTTAAGGAAAGCAGTAAACCTTCCAATGATTACAGGTGATGAGGATTTTCTGGTTTGTGAGATTTCATCCTCAGGAGAAGGCATAATGTGGGAAACCACAGAGCTACACAGGGAACTTGTGGGGAGACACTTAGAATCATAGAATTGTCTAGGTTGGAAGGGACCTTTAAGATCATCTAGTCCACTTACTGCAGAGCCCCTGAGGCTTCACACTTGTTCTGACCTTCATAAATACACAGCATCAAGGCTTGAGAGAAATGTGCTCTTGTGGAACAAACTGAAATGATTTAGGGAGTTACTGCCTCCCAAGTGAGCCATGCTCACAGACCATGTGAGCATCCTTAATATGTTTCCAAGGAAAGGCAGCCAGACGTGGCTTGAGCCGTCTTCAGCAGTGGTTAAAGGGGACTCTCCTGAGCACACTGAAGTACAATTTGGCCTATTTGCACAACATGTTACAGTGTCTGAGTTGAGGAGGTAGCGGCTCTACCCTCTTATAATGAAGGGAAATAACACAGAGTGAAAGATGTATTAACATCTTGACATATTAATGTTGTTTCTGAAGTGAGGACTTCCCTACATGAAAGCATCACCAAATTCTGCTAGTCATTACAGAGCAATGCAAAGCCATAATATTGCAACTTTCCTTCCCTGATTGATTTGGACATACAGTACCTGGAAAAATATTTTTTCACTAGCTCTGAAAGAGCAGCCAAACTTAGGCATATATATATATGACATTTTTTTTGTCATATATAAAACTATCAAGAAAAATGTTTTTCTGCTGCTGCTTACAAGCTGTAGAAGGGATCATTTGGTTGCAAGTTGCCTTCAGAAATAATAGTAAAGCCTGTTACGTGAGACGAGCACCTCTTATCACACAAAGGCCCCAGCATACTCAACCCTGAATACAGCTGCATCCCTTATCTCTAGCCAATATGCTGGTGATGAAAGCAAGAAACACAGCTGTGGGCAAGGTGAGCAGCACAAAGTTTTGTATATGTACAGAATGGAAAGAGGTGAGTACACTGCAAGCTGATGGGCCCCCAGCAGCAAAAGCAGCATTAGATTAGATCTGCATCAAGCAAATGGCTGGGGTAGTTCAGTCTGAAGAAGAGAAGGCTGAGGGGAGACCTTATCACTCTCTACAAGTAACTGAAAGGAGGGTGTAGAGAGGTGGGGATTGGGCTTTTCTCCCAAGTCACAGGCGATAGGACAAGAGGAAATGGCCTCAAGTTGCACCAGGGGAGGTTCAGGTTGGATGTTAGGAAAAATTTCTTCACGGAAAGGGTTATCCAGCATTGGAATGGGCTGCCCAGGGAAGTGGTTGAGGCACCATCCCTGGAGATATTCAAAAGACGAGTTGACACAGTGCTTGGGGATATGGTTCAGTGTTGGTTGTTGGTGTGTGGGTGTGGTGTGTGGTTGTGTGGTGGTTTTTTTTTTTTTATGGTTGGACTAGATGATCTTAAAGGTCCCTTCCAACCTAGGTGATTCTGTATTTCAACCCTTTGGTTTGCTGCTGCTTCTGCCTTCTCCTCATTCCCTGCTACTTCTTTTCTCCCCTCTCCCCTTTACCTTTCCTGAATCCCCGCAGTGGCCTCTTTCTGCCCCTGGGCTCTTCCTGCCTCCCACCTCTCTCCTCCTGCCTCAGCTACAGCTGAAGCTAGGAAGCTAAGGCAGAGGTTACTGGCTCACTGTATCTCGTGTCTAATGTTAGCATTCTTCAGTATGCAGGTTCAGTTACTTTAAAATAACATGACACGGCCAACTGAGTGAATAGCCAGTAAAACCCAGAAAGCATAATATTTAATCATAAATTTAAGATAGATACCTAAGAAGAAATACTTTCTTTGTGCTACAGGTTTTTATTACTCTGAAGAGTTTCCTTTTATAGTATATATCTGCCTGCCTATGCAGAATAAGAAAATGTTTATTAAAACATCAAATAATTTTATGTTTGTATTAACCACATATATACAAAGTACACATAAATTATGAAAAACTGAAAATTTACGATAACCTATTTTTGCCCATATACATTACAAATTTGCAAAACTGCAGAGGTGCTACTGCTGAAATATTAACTATCTGATATAATTTCTGCAATTGCACAAAAGAACACAAAGTCCTATCTGCTTTGTTCACTCAGGGTTGACTTTGAATTCATTGATTGACTGTTTGTCATATGAAACTTGATTGTACAGCTTAGGTCTATGTTTTTAGTGCATCAGTTGAGATGAGCCACTCAGCTGATGTGCAATATCACATGCAGTTTTAGTGCCCCAGTGACTTATCCTGGGAAACAAATATAGTTGCTGCAATTTGATCCTGGATAATGCAGACCCAGGTTTAAAGGATGCAGGGGAGGTATGATGTGTATGTTTAGGAAAACATTGCCTCTATGTATATTAGGGGTTTCTGTTGGCATAACTCCATCCAATTTACACAACAGAGTTATTTTAGCAGGTCAGCAACGTACTCATAAAGAGTATTAGTTCCTTTATGTTAGCGTAACTGCACATGCAGCTGAGTGGCAAAACTTATGAATCCTATGTTCTGAAGTCTTTTGTTAGAAGTACTGAGTCACACCATGTAAAGAAGAGACTGACAGTGCTATATTGGGTAGAGAAACAGCTAGCAACTTTTAGCTTCAGGCTAACTGTTTTCGTTTCATCTTCAGACACAACTCAACGGGTGAAGTGAGGCACAGGACACAATTGATACCAGCTGCCTGCTTAGAGAGGAAGGGGAACTCTGCAGAAGTTGACACTCAGTTCATATCATAAAGGTTTGTGGTTTTTTTTCATAAAGAAGATTTTAAGAGATAATGATTTTATTTTAATGAAAGGGCCAATTTTGGAGCACAGGATGTAGTAAATTTTACAACACATTCCAAATCACCAAATCACACAGTATCAGAAGAAATGATAGCACCTGCTAACTGGATCACTATTTCAAAGCAACGTGGCAAGCATGGATGAAAAGCACTATATCTAGCATGAGATGCCAAGTGTTATCATCATAGTTTTCTGCAAGCTGGCAATAACTTGAAATACTCTGACAGATTCTTGTCTACAGTCAGAAAATTCTGCAAGAAACTCTCTGTGACCCTGAACTTTATACTCTCTGGGGCGCTCATATATTTCGCGACCTGAGTGTATCCTAGAAGTCAAACTCCGAGGGATTTATTGTCTTGTGCCTCAAATAACATTGTGCCCTGCCCTCCAGCTGTACTTTCGCAGTCAAAGATTTTCATTTTTTCACTGGATAGTCTTGTGTTTATCTGCTTAAATTTATAGTCACTTCAAGTAACCACATTTAGAATTGACTTCAGTATCCAGTTCATATTTTTGCTGCTTTATTTATCAGCTTTGCAGCTTTTGGCAAAGTTGGGCTTTAGTGCTTTCAAACTGGAGCATATGCTGTCATTCGGGATTTTTAAAAAGAACTACCCATCCATTGCTATTCAGGATAAGCTTACAAGTAATTCTCCCCTTCTTTCTTATTTCTCCCGTGGGCCATGTCAACCTTTGTTTGTCACCAAATACCATGTGTGTACCTTATACGAAAGCAAAGATGGGTATGTACAATGAAACTCAGGAGAAGATGAAAA